GTCTTGTTAGGTGGCTTTGAATCTTGTTAGGTGGACTTGAAAAGTCTTGTTAGGTGGCTTTGAATCTTGTTAGGTGGACTTGAAAATCTTGTTAGGTGGTTTTGAATCTTGTTAGGTGGACTTGAAAATCTTGTTAGGTGGACTTGAAAATCTTGTTAGGTGGCCTTGAATTCTTTGATCCCCCTTTGTTTTGAGCTTTGATAATTGGCACCCGAATAGTTTGTAGCTTTAATACAATTGGCTCCCCAGTAGTTGTAGCTTTGACGCACAAAATCCTTAAAAGAACAACAATTAATGTATTATCATTTATTCACACACTAATTCTAATTTGATTTATTTTGACTAGTTTAACTTTATTCAACTAACACAATTTACCTATTAAATTATGCCTTAATTAGGGTTAATCACTTACCATGTGCTACGTTCAACCCATTATGCCTAGTAACTACATCCCGCAATATCCTAGAATCGACAGTCGACCCTTTTCAACCGAGAAGCACATAAATGAATTTCATGTCTAGAGAACAAACACCTAACATAGTTGTCATTATTCCACCTCTACGTGTTCTATATCTAGCTTAATGAACAAGAGGTACTCGAGTAGGAACATAAGTCCCATCTAATGTACCCATACAATTCTATAACAAAAAAAAAAATTATCCCATTAGTGGGAGCAATCTAACCTAATGAATGAAATGGAAAAAAATAGAAAATATACTGTATTTAGTATTACTTCACACTATACTTACCTTAAACCACTTCCACTTACAGTCAATAATGTTCTCGAGAACTGGTTCTGGTGACTTTAGGAATACCCTACGCAGACTCAACTTCGTAGTAAGAACCTTGTTGAAATGTCAACTCACAGTTTTCACCCGATCGTAGGAAATTGAACTTAACTGGCCTATTTTTGTCATCGTGCACTAAAATACTTAAGAACATTGCTACAATCTCCTCAATAGTGACATTCCTAGTTGGAGTTAGTTCGTCAACATCACAAACCATATTACACAACATAACAAATATGCATCTGTCCATCCGCAATTGGCTAATATAGGTTCTGTCACTTTAGCCAATGAGACAGTATAAGTGTTCAATTTATAATTGACTCCTATGTAAAGGTCGTGGTACCTCAACTGTCGTAGAATTATTTTCCATTTTCCAAATCATCACGATTATGGACACCATAAGATTAAACACAATTTCCATCTCTCGAATATTCCTATTCAAAATGGTAAGTAAAATACATATTTCATTGTTAGGGCTGTCCATGTTCAACTAATTCATCAAAAACAAAATAATACAATACAAAATAGTTATCACCCATCTAGTCTCTCTGAAAAACGGTGAAATTCAAGTATCCATGTGCACCACATTATAACAACTAAATGGGATCTTAATAGTACATTGCAATTCAATTCAATTTGCTTACTCATGTAAACACGTGTGTGATAAACATTATCACATTGCTCAATAAAAAAAATAAAAAAACTTCTAACAAACAAATACAAAATATGTCAATGAAAGTATGTAAATTGCCTAATTGACAACATACTTAAACAACCCAGAATGGAGGAAAATACCTCAGTTGTAGGCTGAAAGTCGATATGACTATTCGTAAAGCCTACCAAAGTAAACAAATATTTATGATTAGTTGTTGAAAAACTAACACTAACACATACCAAAATAAAAGCAAAACTGGTATATGTATTTTAAACAACACACATCAATAAACAAACTATATCCCTATTTTTTGACACAGCTGAGAATGTGAATGAGATTGAGAGAGTGAGGGTGAGACCTGTGTTGAAGAAACAACAAAGAAACAAAACACCCTTATTTTGACGAAGACAAAGACCCATACAAGCTGAAAGTGAGCAGAGAGATAGAGACGGAGAGGAGTAAAGTGTCATTTGTAGAGGACCAAGCACAATAGGACAGTAACAAAATGAACGAATGTTTTGTTGCCTGTTACAAGATCTGAACATAGACAAAATGAAAGGTAGAGAGATCAAAACAGAGAGCGAGGTAGATACACAGAGAGAGGGACAAGTCATTGTCTGTTCTGGGACTTCTTGGATGTTGTTTTTGCTTCACACAAAAAATGTAGGCGATCGGAACCATTGTAAAAAATGCCTAAAATGGAGATGCACAACAGAGAGAGAGAAATGCCTTCGACCTTATGAAAGGGTACTAGTGGGCACCGATAACAACAAGAGGGGGACCAATTAGGTGAAATGGACACAAAAGGGGGCAAAAACCCTAGATACGTTATTGTAGAAGAACCTTTAGGTAATTACTCCACCAATCCTGTCAGTGGGCTTAGATATCCCGAAGTCCAGGTTAGTTAAAGGTAGTCGGTTCAGAGGGAATAACTAGCCTCAAATTATATGGGCCAATTGTTTGAGCCCAACGATTATCCTATTCCATGTTGTGGATCCAAAGTTGGGTTTTATGGGCCCCAAATTATTTTACTCAATCCAACTTGTGTTATCCCCTTTTATCCATCAAACGAAACGCACCATAGGGTTCTAAATACATTCTCACCAATTTTTTTGAAATTTAAGTGGAGAAAGTGTTATTTTAAGTTTTTGTACAAATACTAGTCCACTTTTGATTTAAATTTAAGGGTGAATTATATTTTGTACCTTCAAAGATTTAAAATTGTTTACTTTGCACTCTTAGGTAGCGTTTGGTAACCGCTCGGTTTTTTTTTTTTTTTTTTCATTTTATGGCTGAAAAAAACAAAAATGTATTTGGTGAATGTTTTTTTTAACATCTCCATTTCAAAAAATAAGACTAAAATATAGAAACATCCAAAAAAAAAAAAACAATGCTCCGTGGTGATCTCTCATTTAATGAGACCCTGACTTCAATTCTCCTTAACAACAAAAAATAAATTTTTTTGCTTTATTATAAAACCCCCTCTCTAGTCTCTGGTGTCTTAACTCTCTCTTTCTCTCTCTCTCTCCCTTCGCTGATGGTTCTGGTGGGTTTTGATGGTTCTGCTGTGGGTTTCAATGGTTCCACTGTGGGTTTCGATGGTGGGGGGTTGGATTGGGAGTGGGTTTCGGTGGTTGTCGCTAACCATATGTCACAGAGAGAAGATTAGCTAAAGATAGCTCTATAGCATCCTTGAGCTCAACCGATCTTTATTACTACGATTTCGGCAAAACCACCAACACCCGTTAAAAAACCAACAAGATCGGCCGGAAAGAGACACAAATTTGGGTTCTATTATGGAAGGGTTTTTGTTTCTTGTCGATGATAGAGTTAAAGAGAGTTATGCAGTGGAAAAGTGTTCGAGCGATCAATATAGTGACTTCAAGACATCAATGGTGGAGATGATTGTGGAGAAACAAATTTTTGGAACTGAAGATCTTGAGAGGCTGTTACTACATTTTCTTTCTTTGAATTCATCCTCTTATCATGAGATCCTTGTTCAGGTTTTCTCGGAGGTTTATGAAACTTTGTTTAACTGTTGATTTGGTTTAAGGATGAACATGTTTTGTTTGTGGTTTTGGTAGTTATGGGGGTTGAATTGGGTGGTGGGGTTTGGTGGTGGGATAATTTTTAGTATAATATCAAACTAAGTTTTTTATTTTTGTTTTCATAGTTTTTTAAATATAATTGACTATTAAATATGTATTATATTTTTAATTTTTATCACTAAAAAAAAACAAAATTTAGTCCTGTTTTTTTTATTAAAAAAACATAAAAACGAAAATGTTACTAAACACCCCTTTAATAATTAATTTTTTAGATTATATTCTCATGTATTAAAATTAATATAATTTGGCCCTGCCTCAATTTTAGTTAAAATTTAAGGGCAAATTGTACCCTGTGTCGAGAAAGATTTAAACAAATTTTTTTTTTACTCTTAAAAATTAAAATTTTCATATTATATTTTTAATATATTAAAAATATTACAACGTGGTCATTCTGTTAATTTCCGTTACTCATTCTGTCAACATCAATGAAATAGTTTTTGACGGAATAAAAAATATAAACTAACAGAAAGATTGTATTGCAATACTATTAATATATTTATGGAAGAATAATGTTTTTGAAACATAATTTAGGGATATAATTTGATAACATATTGCAATATGACCAACATATTGATAGTGAAATACATTTAATGTTGCAATGAGTCTTATCAATAAATACATTCAGCTATCAATTTATTAGTTATAATTCATTATATCCTTCAGTTATATATTTCTCAATTATATCCCAATAATATTAGTATTGATGGCATAATATAAAAAACCTAATCTTTAAAAATAAAAACTTTTGAATCTTGAAAAGTGCAAAGTGGGCATGTTTGGTTTCGTTCTGTAAAACTATTTTTTGTTCTCAAAATTTAAAAACACTGAAAACTTATTTGCTTAATATTTTTGTTCTCAAATTTTTGGAAAAAAAATGAGAATTGGAGCAAAAAAATAGAAAATAAGTTACACTTATTTTCAAAGTTTTCTTTGAAAATGTTGAAAACACAGAGATAGTTTGTGGTTTTTATTGAGGACTGTCATTCGAGTCTTCTTAGCAGGAAAAAACCTTTCTTCCTTTTTTTTTTCCTCTCTCTCTCCAACGTCTTCTTCTCCAGCGTCTCCGAAGATTGCTGTGCAACGAAGATAGAGATGGATCTACCCGTGCTCATAGATGGAGAACACCAAAGATGGATCTATGCAACGAAGATGGAGAGCACCAAAGATCGCTGTGTAACAAAATTCAGATCTCCATAGATCTTAAGTACAAATATGTGTAGATCTAATTCTAAGTTTGGATTTGTGTGTGTGTATGCGTGTGTGTGGGTTTTATGACGACAGAGAAAGGGGAAAGAAAGATAGAGATGGTAATTGTAGGTTTTGTAGATTATTACTCAAATAAAGTTTTTTTATTTATTTTTTAAAAATATATAACCAAATATATTTTATAATCTAAAAATTTTAAAAACCACTTTCTTACAATTTTTTCCATACTTTTTGCATCGATGAGTAAAAAGCTCCCGAACTCTCTACAGCGAAAGTGCACTCCATAAAACACACGCAAATATGTGGAGAAAAGCCCTAGTAAGCGTCGGTGGTGCACTGCAACCATGCCGCGTGACGGCTTTCCGACGGTCCTCCAGCGTCTCCACCGCCGTGAACTCCATGTTGCTCCGCTCCCTCAAAGAACACTATCTCGAAATCTCCAAAATGACTCCACCTCCGGTAACACACACACACACACACACACACACACACACTCTCTCTCTCTCTCTCTATCCCCCTCGGTTATATCTCTTTCCCTGTGAGTTAATCAAGAATTGACCTTTGAAGTGGAACCCCTGCTTGTAAAATTGGATGTTTTGTGTGCGGAAATGCAGCTAATATGTGACAACGTTTTATAGTTACGTTTTGACCTTCACAGTTCTTGGGGGTATTTGTGCTGTGTTTGTGTGTTAAATGGCAATGCTGATAAATTGATGTAGGGTTCCCTGAATTTAACTCAATATTCATGTCTCTTGCGTGAGGCAAGCTAGTTTTATTGCGTTTATCTATATTTGTGTTCCATTGTGTGTGGTGTTCTGTGGCAATGCTGCTAATTTTTTTCTAGGGTTTTATTGGGTCAATCTAGTGTTAGATTTTATGTTGGTTCTGTGCATTTTTTTTGGTTAAATTAAAGTGACACCCTTAGAGTTAGAACTTCCCTAAATACAAGGACTTCCTTTGGAATTTTTGAAATATCACTGCAGTCTCCTCTAGTTCATATATTAATTTTAGATGCTACACTTATCATCATGTTTCAAAATGAAAGGAAAGGTGCCATCAATGCCATGAAAGATTCTTCCCCTATTACAAACTTTAGTGGACTCGATTGAATAAAATAAAAATAAAAGGAATAAATTCCTATAAATATTATACACAAGCCAAAAAATAAAAAATTGTTCTTGGATCTCATGAACTAAATTGGAACAAAATAGAATGAATCAAAAGCAAAAATCAAAATAAAAAAAATAAAAGAATCATGCTCATTATGAAAAAAAAATGAATAAAATACTTACTAAGAAAAAAGAATAAACTCAATTTCCTTGACATTAAGACTAGATGATATAAAAATAAGAAAATATTGTTTTCAAATTTAATTTTTGTCTCTACTTGAACTTTGTATAAATAAAAGGAATAAATAATTATTGTTTATATTTTCAGTAAGTGTTATTAGAGAAAAATGAGGACAAAACTGCAAATTGACCCATTTTGATCCGAAAAAATTTGATTGGCGGTGTCGGTGTACTTCCAGAAAATCGAATGGCTGCACCTGTATTTTGGGCAGTGTTCAAGGGGTGTGATTGCAATGATTGTTTTCTGGGATTGGGGGGAATTGTGGAAATGTTGCTAAATCTATCTAGGGTTTCAACATATTAATTTAATTTTTGATGAACTTTATCTTGTGCTCTGCATATGTGTGTATGAGTGGGGTAGGGCAGGGCTGCTAAGTAGATTTTTTTGAAGTTAACTGTTTTTGCACATTTTTATTTTTTCACTAAGGTTATATAAATTGTATGTTTGTCGCAGAAGGTGAGCCCACCTCAACCATTTACAGTGGTGAAAGGGGCGCTTGATAGTGCTACTCCTGTTTTAAAACGGACCTATGGTGATGAGGTGATTAGTATTTATGTAATGCGGTTGGCTAACATTATTCCCAGTGGCGGTGGGGATGACGATGATGATGATGGAATTAATCAGTTGTTTGTTCATGTGGATATCTCAAAGCCTGGACAGAAGGATTCTTTGCATTTTCTTTGTGGACTGTATCCAGATGCATTGGGAATTCACTCAGTTTCGATGAGGCCAAAGCTTGAGACTTCAGGATTTCTTGTGGTTCCGACGAAATACAATGGCCCTGTTTTCCAGTAAGTCACTTCATGTGTTGTATTATGCTGATGTTATAGTTGAATAAATTGATCGCCTTTAATTCGATTTGAATGAAATAAGTTTCTATACAATGCAACACAACAACATTTTGAGTTCTTTAATGTTTGAACTTCTTTGTGGATAAAAAGCAAAAAATCTAGCATGCATATGTATGCAGTCAAAGCCGAGATTAATAGCATTATTGATGTATGCATCCTGGAGTCTTGGTGTATGAAATCATTTTAGAAACTTCTTTTTATCTTTTTGTCTCAATTGGGGTAAAATAATTTAATTCAAGGACTCGAGGTGAAAACCAACACCAACTTCAAATTTAGGGATAAAATCTTCCCCTTTTGTCTCTTGCAAATTAGGTACTAACTTCCCCTTCTCCATCTTACTTGTAGCAAAAAAAAAAAAAGAGGTTATCAAAATTTTAAGCAACATAATTTGGAACCAATAACTGATGTAGGCCATGCGGCAATGATGATCTGTAAGTGACCTTGTTCTTTTTGTAGTGTTGAGTTGAACACATGTGATTCTTTAAGGGTTAAGAGTTTGTATGGGAGTTGGAAAGTTATACTTGTGTATAAGAATGGTAAGATGAAGGAGAAACTGAATTTAAGTAGTTTTTTCCTAGTGGTATCAATTGCGCTGTCTTGTCATGTTTGGGTCATTTCATTTTTCGTTGTATCATTTTCGGGTCACGCCCTTTTGGGTCTCTCATGTTCGTGCCGACATATATTTGTCGTGAACCAAAAACATTATTACTAGGATCTCCATCTTTCTTAACTGAATCTACTTCACATAGGTCCCCCCCCCTCTCTCCAGCCCTACCCCCCACACATAGATTAAAAATATACTGGATTCACATCCTAGTAAAATCAAAATATAAAACTTAATCCCACAATTATTCATTATAGATCAAGAAATGATTTTTTTTTATTCAATAGCAGTCAAATGGGTCTATTGTGCCAAAACCGGTTTGTTCATGTTAATTAATTGCCATTTTCGAGTTAGAGTCATGTTGGGCTCGAGTCGTGTAACAGGTATTGTAGAAATTAGCACTCTTATGTTCTATTTTCAGAAGAGTATATTTGGGAAATGGTTCTAAAAAGCAGCACGTCTAGTAAACTGACATGTTTCTACCATTAGGGTATGATTAACATTTTTGTTTGTTGAAAATGACAGAGATCTTGATGGGAAAATGAGAGATGCACTTCATGGTTACATTGAAGAGCGAGGTATTAATGAGAGCCTCTTTCCATTTCTTCAAGCTTGGCTTTATGTGAAGGATCACCGGCATCTTATGGGTTGGTTCAAATCAGTCGGTACATTCATTAATGAGAGAAAGCAAGAAGCTTCACTTGCTTAATGTTTTGTCACGCTAGTTTTTCTGAAATTTTTCTATGTGAGCCAGCATGGGAGATTGCTCCCAAGTTAGTCCTCTATATACAAATGCAATGTGGTTGGCTGGTAAGTGTAGGTAATGTTTTTGTTGTGGCAGTTTTTCAAGGCCATCTGCATCTCCCAATGTTTGAGTTTTAAGTATCGTACCAGTTCATTAGTTCTATTTTATGTTTAGTCATTTGAAGTTCTTGTATTGTACATCTCCACACGGTCTCCGTAGTTTTTCAAGGCCATCTGCGTCTCCCAATAATGCTTGCTGCATATATAGTACTCATACATTTCTACCTATTGGCAGGGACAGAGCAGGAATATATTTCTAGGAGGGCTCTTTCAATACATGCTTGAAAATTTTCCCCCCTATAGGTGAAAGTAAGAAGTTTGTACATTTGTATTTATCATCTCATATTTGATACATTAAGATTCATTGGACAAAAAGCAATCTACAAGGTATATATAAACAAAAAATAACAAACGAGCCTATTTAAAATTACAATCCTTTACACAAAGTGAATTTTCATACGTTGAGAGTGTAGAACTTTATTATCAATGCCATCAAAAATATCTTTCTCTATATATGCAGCTTGTGCAATCAATCATTGGTTATCCATAAATCATCCATTTGGTTATACAATCCATTCTTCGTAATTTCAAGCCTTGTAATTTACTTAAAAAATTTCTTCCAAACATTATTATTTAGATATGAAACTAGCAAAGCCGATATATAAAATTTTGGTGTGATAATATAAATGAAACCCAGTTGAAACACATCAAACACAATTATCAACAATTGTAGAGAAGTGGAGATAGTTGGTCATAAAAAGATAGAAGCTACTCGCAGGCCACTTGCCAGTAATTCAATGTTTAAATTAAGAACACAAAACCAAAACAATAATAAGTATACAAATCAATGCTAATTGCAAAAGTTCGTAATACAATAACAATCACTAGACATACAATTATTGATCAATTGACTTAGTCATAAAGAAGCAAGAAGGGAATAGGGTAAGTCAGTGTTATTTAAGGCATAAAGCGAATTGAAGTAAACCGGTCTCTTGAGCGCCTAGGCGAGAAGCGGAGCGAGTGCTTTATCGAAGCAAAACGAATAATATAAAAAATAAACAAATATTTTAGTTTGATACTTTAATTACTCCTAAATATTCAAGTTTCGACTTTACAAATACAAAATATTTAAACGCAACCAAAATAATAAACATCAACATATTTTAAATAGACAAGATATTAAATATTGAACATTATTGTATTTTAAAAATAATCAATTGATATAATCACGTCATCTAACTGTAAGGTTAACAAATGTAGGTTCGACTTCCATTGTGATTGATTAATATCACCACTAAATACTCAAAAATTGATTAATCAAATAGAATATATAGCAAATTGATTAATCAATTTGATTGACCAAACAAATTGATTAACAAGAGCATTCACTTCAAAACAGAGTATTCAACATCATCTAATCATAATAAGACAGATTGTTATACTATACTGTTAGATGAATCAATCAAATTATTATATATATATATTTATTTATTTATTATATAACATCATCTCTGTAAGGTTTTGGTTAATGTTAAGGAAGAAGAAGAAGAAGGATGGGGGGGGGGGGGAGGAGGAGAAAATTAAAAAAATTGCCAGGCATTCGCTTTTCTCGCCTGACTCGCTTTTTTGTTTCGTCCCCCATACTCGCTTTTTTCTCGTTTTACTTAACCTTGCTTCACCTGGAATGTTCAAGGCAACCAATGCTTACTTTGCTTCGCTTCGCTGCTCGTCAAGGCTCACCTTTCACAACACGGGGGTAGGTACAATAAATATAAGAGTTAAGGTTTTAACATATACATATAAGTGATTTTAAAGAAAAATTTCAGGGTGGGCAAGGCCCATGTCCATTGCTCGCTTTGCTTATGCCTATTGGATTATCCCACTAGCTATGGTGCTCCTACTTTTCTTCTACTCTTTAATCTGGATAACCTGTTTCCTTTTCATTGTGTATTTTGTTTGTGGCATTTTCAACTTTTCAGATTCGAACTTTGAATAGTTTTGTGGGTGTGTTCAGTGTTAATGGAAACAATTGCACGAGAAAGGGTTTGGCCTTTGTGCAGTAGCATGTCTTCTAAATACCAATTCAAAATCATATGGAGTTGGGACTTTTAGCTCAACAGTCAAATGTTGTGCCTTTTTTAAGTGCTGGAGTTCTCATTTGCTTCCCATTCCCAGCTGAGTTGCTCATATTTTTGTTATTGTTTTGCTTTGCAAGAACATTTTGTTCTGCTAGCTTTATACATTTTACCCCCCAATAGGATTGTTTTTGATTTACAAAGAGAGATGCATGAAGAGTGACTCTGTTTGGGCAACTCAAATTTTTCCCACCCCACCTTTTCTTGGAGTCTTTGTGGATGAATTCCAACTGATGGTATTGAGATTTATTGATGTTCTGGCACTAATTTTGGATATCTTAGGAGGTGTTGCCATTGAAGATCTCAAACCTTTCCATTATTATCGTTGTGTGTGATTTAGCTTCTTGAGAAGCATATATTTAGAATCCCTGGAATTGCATAAGTTTGATCATTGTTGTACTGATTAGCATCTAGGTTTGTAGGTTTTTGTATTCGTTGGAGATTTTGTAAAATCCACTTATGCTTTAAGAAGTTGCCTTTCTTTGGGTTGCCACACAGAACAAAAACATGATGATTGGTCTTGTCATCCCTAATTTGGCAATCACAGCTTAATTGATTGTGTTCAGGAGGTTTAGAATCACTGGATTTCCTTTATCAGTTGTGTTGCCCAATATTTTCGAATGATTGTTATCTGATGTTATGCGATGTTTCTCCACGTGTTGTCTCCTCTTGATCTGGGACTGTACAGTCTGAGAATATGTATGCGTTACTGGAGAGTCCCTTTTATGTACGTAATAGAGCATGTAGAAAATAACATGATGTAGGAAAAGTATGGGGAACAAATGATCTGGCAGTGGAAAGAAAAAGGTTTTGGGGCTGATCATGATTGGTGTTTGGGGTTAAAAAGGTCGGTCAAGACATTGGTGGATCAGTGTGCTGTGAACAGTAATTGCAACAGCAACGGTTGTCTTTTTTGTTAAATTTATTGCATTTCCTTTTTGTTTTTTGCTAGTTTATTATGAGTTCCTATGATCCCTATGATACTCCTCATTCATATACTTCCTCCACCTCAAGATTGTCTTGAAGTCAGAGTTTTTTCAGAAAGTCATCATCAAAGTAAGTCTAGATATATCTCCAATAACTCTTTAATCAAGACCAAATTAGTCAAAGATCTTTCAACATTTGGTGGCACATCAGATCCTAGAGAATTCTTGGATTGATTTAAAACAATATTTTGATTGGCATAGAATGCCAGGTTTCCATTGCATTCATTTTGGCAAGTTGATGTTAGGTTTTGCCAAGTGTTATTGACCAGTAATCCAAATCACATCAGACCGTTTAGGAGAATTATCCATCGCTTGAGCTAAAATGGAATGTAAATTGGTAGAGAAATCTATGCTCACTTTGTGGACAATGGCTCAATCTTAATTCTTAGGGAATAATCTGTGTCTTTGATTACATTGCCCACTTCAAAACAAGGATTAAAATTTCGTTCAGTGTATAATTTTGGCCATTCGGAAACGTTTTGGGAGCATTTTGGTAATAAAATGAAAACACAGACAAAATACGAAAATATATTTCAGAAACATTTCAAAAACATTGGTTGAAATTGTCCAAAACACATTGAAACATTTCGAAATACCTCAAAACATCCCAAAACACCTCAAAATACTGGAGTTTCAATAGTTAATGATTGTTTTGTTTCGGTATGTTTTAGTCGTTTCGATGCGAATGAAATTAAATTTAGATCATTGCTTCGAACGTCTCTTGAAATTGTGTGACACTATTAAAAAATCTCAAAACTAACCACTTATAGGCAACTGGCTTTTCAACCTAGACATATACTAAATGATGATAATATTAATCATAAAATATGAAAGAAAGTCCAAAAAAAATGCAAAAGAGTGGACAAGGTCTCCATACCAAAAACACATCAAAATAAAATAAAATAAAATAAAAATACAACTTAAAAAAATCCAAATTCAGAAAAGGAGAATATTCACCAAATCTTTAATGACTGATGCCCAAAAGGAGGCCAAAAAATAAATCCGTTCTCAAGGCCTTCAACTTCCTTACATTTATCATAAAAAATGCTCGCATTCCTTTTCAACCAAATAACTCAAACAATAACTTTTCGGAAATAACCCAATCATCCAAGCATATCATGGAAACCAAATTTCTCGGTGCCAACCAACATATACCCATATGGCTATACAATCTATTCCATAATGAATGCGGTAGGACAATTAAGAATAGGTAGGTCCTCACTGTCATGGTCACCTTTACCCAAAACACTCCATTGCGGTAGGTGAGAAGCCATAGGTCTCTTTTTCTGAAGCACATCGTATGTATTAATCTTTCTGTGAACAATTATCCATACCCCGACTTGCATCTTTAAAGACAATCTAGCTTCCCAAATCATCTTCGATGGAGGGAACAAAGGAAGAGAGGGATCATCAATTAAGGACTCAAAAAAGATTTATATGAGAAAACTCTGGAAGAATCAATGGTCTAACATCTTTTGTCCAAACATCCCCAAGTCAAAGAAACCCTATCAAGTAAGGAAAGAAGCTTAACCAACTCCAAACATTTTGTATCATTTAAACTCCCACGGAACCCAAAATCCCATGAGATAGGAAAAGAGTATGACTTAATGAAAGAATTTACCTTATGATCATGAAACCTAGAAATACAATAAGGACAAGGAAAAAGACTAGAAAAAGGAAGACTCGCCCACCCATGTATTCTCCCAAAAGCGAACTCTAGTTCCACCTACCACCATAAATTTAACCCTATGAGAAAAGATAGGAAATCCCTAAAAACTCAACTTCCACAAGCTTTGATAATTACTCTTTTCAATCCCATTAGCATCCCAACCAATAGTTAGTTACCCATATTTACTCTTAATGACAAAATACCACAATTAATTGTTCCAAAGGGAATCTCCAAAGTCACTTACCAACCAAAACTACATTTTTTTTCACTACGTTTCCTACCAAAAGGCCTCCTTTAACATTAAGTCTAAACACTACCTCCCAGGATATCAAATGATCTTTCTTTCCCTCATCCTTCCCTTCCCATTAGAAGTCCCTCATCATCCCTTCATGTTTCCGTGCCACTAAGACAGGTAACTTAGTTTTCCATTTTTTTTATATTTTATTTTATTTTGTTTTGCTTTGTTTTGTTTTCTTTTAATCACA